GACAGTTGAATATTGAATGCCTAGATTGTTATGGGCACTTATCTGAAACTATTTAAAATATTTATTTTCTATACAATCTGAATAGATTTCTTAAAAGTCTGACTATAAACAGTAGGTGGTATCAATCATTTATTAGTTGAATTTATTATTTAACAAAATTACATTCAATTTTAACTAAATTATGTATTTATCAGAATTTTAAATCTATGTGAATTTGTTTAAATATTCTACTAGAACTACGTAATTTCAATATGTAGCGGATTTTCAAATGTCATGTCTGAAATATACATATTCATGTATTCGACATAAATCATTTCGCATTAGTACAGTTTTAAGTGAATCGAGGATCTAGTTAATTAAAAACATAAAGAGATAGTTGTCATATCCTAATACCTAGAAGTATGATAACTCATTTATTTAAAAATGAATTAGGTATTGTAATTGATGAATAGTTTCAGTCAATTAATATTACATTGAAGGTAAACTACCGTATTATAATAATATCACAAATATATAAAAAATGTGGAGATTATTCAAAGGATGACTTCGAAGTTGACTTTTTGATCCAAATAGCAATTGCTTCAGCCATTCGCTGGATTCTTAGTCTGAGGGAACTAGGTAGACTGCTGTTACCATGATATAATATTGCGAAAGATCACTGTATGTTTGCCGTATGTCCTATCTGAATTAAATTGGTTAAAATGAAGCTCTTAACCGTTTTGACTACACCTTTGCTTAATCACACTGGGAGGTGTTCACGAGCCCGGATGTACGAATTCCTAGAACATCTGCCAATATAATTTGCTCCACAGGAGCATTTGAATTGATAGATACAGAAAGAGGTGGCTTATCTTATTTTTATCATTATCTTTATCATTGTTATTATTATTACACTTGATAACATTTTTAAAGAATTTACCCAAAATCCATCCCTATCTATATTATATTTGACCTAATTCATATTATTCTACATATTATGTAATTTCTGATTTTTGAGACGGTGGAGATTTTAGCTCAGGCAGATGATTTTGATGGAGTTTTGTTCTCTGAGCTATATGGTTTATTCCATTATTCTCTCTCTCTCTCACCCCATGTTGATCATATTTATTCTGATCATTTATTTCACAATTTCATTTCACTTATAAACTGATTCAATTTAACACTTCATATTAGTCAACCCCAACGATAACCATTTGATTTTATATTCTTACTTACTTACGGCTGTTACTCCTTATGGAGCATAGACCACCGAACAGCATTCTCCAGCCCACTCTGTCATGGGCCTTCTTTTCTAATTCCATCCAATTCTTGTTCATTTTTCTCATGTCTATCTCCATTTCCCGGAGTAATGTGTTCTTTGGTCTTCCTCTTTTCCTTTGGCCTTGATTCCATGTGAGGGCTTGTCTTGTGATGCAGTTGGGTGCTTTCCTCAATGTGTGTGTCCTATCCTCTTCCAGCGCTTCTCCTTAATTTCTTCCTCCGCTAAGATCTGGCTTGTTCTTTCCCTTTGATTTTATATAACAAACAACAATACTTGATGGACATATTACAACTTTAATTACTTCTCAATAAAGTAGTATATCAAATTTTTTTAATTCGGAAAACATTTATGAAAAAAATGGTTTATTTTACGTTAATTTTCTAGTTAATGAATTTAAAGTTAACTAATCAAAATCCTTTACTTTTATTTAAAGGAAAAACGAATTGTCTAATTTAGATTCTTTATAGTGTAATCTATTGATTGAATGGGCTTCTTGTTATTTATTTCGTTAACATCCAAAAGTTCTATTAGGTATATGATTCAGAAATGTTTAAATCTATTACTTATCCCTTTGTTAAACATGAACTAGAATAAATAACTGATAGATCATTATTAAATTATATATATATAGTTGCCTCAAGATATGATTTATTCAATTATTCTTTATTATTATTTAAGTAATATTACATCATTCTATGGATACATATGCATATTACAATTTTCCTTTAAGAAACTATCAATTGACCGAAAATATTTAACCATGACTTGTCAATTAGAATCCTTGCTAATCATGAAAATTGAATTTATCCAGTGAATGAAATGGAATTTGTTTTCTATCTTTAATTTGATCATAAATTATTGTTTATTTGATTGCCTTCTAGATTGTTTAACGAATGATTGATTTCATTGTTAATAGTTATACAGGTATAAAATTTGTACAAATTTAAATATGTTTAGGAAAATACACTATAGACTTGTTAATGAAAAGTAGTTTATGAGAAAAAATGGAGTGGAATGGAATAATAATAATAATAATAATAATAATAGCTCAGAGAACAAACTCTACCAAAATCATCTACCTGAGCTCTAAATCTCCATCATCTCTTCTATTAAAAGATCAATGTAATGATAGTATAGTTTAATTTTGATTTGTTAAATTTGATCAAAATGAAGTTATTCAGTGATAATATGATGTCATATCTAGTCACAACTGTTGGTAATTCATCAGTTACACCGAAAATTAAATGTTTTAGAATGACTGAAACGAGGTAAATCCTTAAGTTTATTATTATTGTGAAGTTTTCAAAAGACAACTGACCTAGAAAAGAAGTAATTTCAAGAAATTGGTGTTTTTTACTGCTATTATTAAGATGATAGAAAGATAGTTATTAACCTGCATAACATCAATATATATACAACTTCATTATCTATCATTAAAAATAACGAATTTTAATGGGACTGACAGGTTCACTGTTTTCTTAAATTCATTTAAGCATTTAAAGATGGAATTCCGCCTGTAGCTCTTGTAGAGTTACTGACGGTCCCAAGTCCACACAAAGAAGGAGGGTAGCATGTGGGGTCGGTGACCCCATCCCGTAGAAAACAATCTTGCTAAAAAATGACAACTAGATTAAACAAATTAAACATAAGTCAGGTAAGTAATTTAAAGATGGCTATTCGTATGCTGAAACAAATATCGGCGCAATATAATAAATGGTACTTCAACGTTACATTCTAGGTAATGCTGTAGCCAATCAAAGCTAAAGGCTAGACTATAAGCACAGATCCATAGACGTTTTTGTTGATCTCTGCAAAATGATGATAGTATCATCAACTGACTGAAACGTTTCTTTTAAGGGCGTCAAATATAAATATATACCTGCATATATATCTAGATTTCGAAGTCGAAGCACACCACTATTACCAGTTCTAAATTGTATTTTTCTATTCATAAATTTAATAACCATGACTGTTTTTCTAAGTCCCTAAGAGGTTGTAGTATCGGATACTCTGTTAAGCCGATATAACTTATTCTAGCTTCTGGACAGGCCAATTCATCTATTTTTCTTGAGTCACGTTTTGAACTTGTTAATTATTCACTTACCTGCCCTGACTGTATTTTCTTATATGAGCGTATGTGTGCGCATTTCTTGTCCTACTCATCACATGTCCGAAGTTTATTTTTGTGTGACTATAAATATTGCTGAACTCTTGGCTAAATGGAGTTGGTTTACACACTTTCTCCATCATGCATCATTTCGCTTCGCTATATCTATCTATCTATATATATATATATCAAACTGAGATCAGATCCCAGGTCACAAAAACGTTTTCAACAGATTTGAAAAATTTTTCTGGAAGTTTTAAAATTTAATAATTAGTTACCTATGCAAGCAAACAAATCCCATTAAAAGGCTACGAAGAAATCAACACAGTTGGTTGCTTGAAGAGTCTGAAACTATTATTTTATACTTAATGTTCCATTTATCAATGACATCGACACCGCCTAACTCACATGTGTAATGAATTTTGTTGATAAAGACTTGTCACATTTGAATTTATATACAAATATTCAGTTGACCATTGCTATTAAGTTCTACCTTTAAATAAACAGCATTGTACAAATACTTCATAACGATTTTGAAACCATCTAGAAAACGGATATTCACATGAATATAACCAAAATATCCAAGTAATTAGTAAATAATAATTATGGTTAGTCAAATACTTATATTCTGATCATCTAAAGTAACCAACGTTTTAGCACGTTCATTCTTAAATGAACCATTATCATTAGTCTACGTCGAATAAGTACCTATATCGAAAGTCTATTCACATATGAATTAAAGTGATTATTATTTCTTTAGATGAACAATATCACCTAGTAAACAATAGAAGTAAAAATAACAATTACTTATTTCCCATTGTATACATTCATTGTATAGACTATATGTACCAGGGCTTTTTTCAATAACACATTTTATTTATTATTAGAATTAATTAGTAGTAGTGAGTGTTGCTTTTTTCAAGAAATTTTTAAACATTTTAGTATTTTCAAGCAAAGATGGATAATGGCTAGCAATGGAATCCTGTTTGGGACTCGTCATCTGGATGTACATTTATCCTAGAGTTCATGTTCACTCCGAGACTCGAACCCAGTACCGTTTGCTTTAAACACCATCACGTTATCCACTTAGATACTGAGTCCTGATAGCCACCTGCTTGTGCACTCGGGTGAAGTTTAAATTCACTTGATGTTGTTTTACTTGTATCTTCCCGTTGTTATTTAGGACTGCAATCGATCACTCGCAAACAAAAGCTATCAGGACTTAATAGCTAAGTGGATAACGTCGTGTCGTTTAAAGTGAACGGTACTGGATTTGAGTCTAGGAGTGAGTGCAGGTACATCCAGCTAACAAGTCCCAAATAGGACAAAATGCGCGTCTTGGATTCCACTGCTATCCACTATCCAACTTTGCTAATAATTCTTGTGACTTAAGGCTATATCGAGTCAATCCGCACAGGATGTACATATGCCAACATGAGACTGATCAATTGTAGTCCTAAATAACAATGTGAAGATGCAAGTTAAACAACATCAAGTGAATTTTAGTTTTGTTATTATTTAACACTTAGATAATTAAACATTTTAGATCTATTCTGTTTATTTTTTCACAGATTTTATCTTAACTTTCTTTTTCATTTATTCTTTTCTTTTTTTTCGTTTCTCTTAAACCAGGAGTGATTAATATTTTTTTAATACAATATCTAATAATTGCTCGTAAACAATGCTTTAATTTAGAATATGAATTAGATTATTGTTCTAGAAAGCATAAAGTTCATATACCAACAAGTCAATTATCTGGTTACAGTTTTGGTTATGGTTCATTAAATGATACAGAATATATGTGCCGGTAATTATCAATTTTTTTAATTCTTTTTTCGTTTCTTTTATATATAAGATTTGTAAATTGTTTTGCAAGATTTCAGTTAAATATATTTCGATCAAATATTCTTGATAAAATATCATACAAAATATATGAATTTCCTTCAAATTACTCTTAAGAATACATCAAAGTAACATCGTGGTATAAAAGAAATCTAGACGTTTTCATAAATCTGCTAACTGAATCAATTAAGTTTTTGATTGAGTTCATGAACCGATTGATGTTAGACCACCTTTGGAAACCTGGAATCACTGGACGGCTGTCTCGTCCTATTGTGGGACTCCTCAACAGTGCGCATCCACGATCCCGCTCACGGGATTCGAACCCAATGCCTTCGGTCTCGCGCACGAACGCTTAACCTACTGGACCACTGAGTCGGCATCCAATGGTGATGGTGTCTAACATCAACCAATCCACGAAATTGCGCGACCATCAATCAATTAAGACATCATCTCCATTTTATCAACATTGAAATTATTCAATTATCTAATTCAATGAGTCCCTTTGATAAATTTCGATAGTGTAATAAGAAGATGAAGATAATCAGAACTAATATGATATAATAGAGCAGTATATTTCGAACAATCTGATCACACATGAGGTTTAACAGAAGATATTTCATATATAAATAATAAATGAATAAGAAAAACTATGTGATATATTACCGCAGTACATTTTAAATAATCTAATCATAGACAATGCAATTGTTAAGAACATTTATATTTAAAAATAAGAGCTTGTTATCCAGAATGATTAGGTTTTAAATTGTTTTCTCCTCTTACCCTCCATTTCTAGTCTAGTTGACCTTTTATTTCTATGCTTAAATGTTCTTAACAAGTACAATATGTGTGATCAGATTGTTTGAAATATACTGCTCTATTATATCATATTAGTTCTGATCATCTTCATCTTCTTATTACACTATCGAAATTTATCAAAGGCACTCATTGAATTAGATAATTGAATAATTTCAGTGTTGATGAAATAAAGATGATATCTTAATTGATTCAGTTAGCAGATTTATGAGAACGTCTAGTTTGTTTACACCATGATGTTACTTTGATCTAGTCTTATGAGTAATTTAAAAGAAATCCATACATTTATACATACATGAAGCAGGTACAGAAAAAGATTAACTTATGTTAATAGATTAAGCTAGAAGAAAATAAACAGAAAGCTATTTTATTCTCTTTAAAATGTATGGATACGTTAAAAAATAAAATTTTTACACTTTAATTCTATAAGCATGTATGCTATTTTAGTTGACAAAAACGAGGAATGGAAATGCATAAAATATGAAAAATATCGCTTTACAACTATTGATGACTTCATACTCTTACTAAAGATTTAAGTTAAAATAGATAATGAATAACAATAAAAACCAGAATGCTCTTGTCGTCCTATTTTGTACTCGTCAGAGAGATGTATCTGAATCCTGGAGTTTATATCCACACCAGTATTCGAACCCATTACTTTTGGCTTTAAACGCTCCAATTGGATAATGAGTCCGTGTAGCTACTAGCCTATGCAACAGAGATAACGTTTATTACTTATCGAATATAGTGACTTAGCTTTGAAAACCAAAGGTAATGGATTCGAACCTCAGAGTGAACATCAAATGTGAAATACAGGCATATTCAACTGGATAGTTCTAAATGGAACGAGACTGGCATCCTGAACTCTAACGCTTTCCGAAAATAACCGCGAACTAGTGACGACATCGAGGGGAATCCCGCAGGCTCAAATATTGCAAAAGTGGTTTACCAACATTTAATCCTTCATATCATCAACGAAGACACTCAAAAACATACAAATATGTAATATTATAGATTTTCATAAATACCACAAGGTGCCTGTCTCACTTTAGCTTTAGTAAATGATGAGACATCATTAATGTAACAATAATTTAGTATGTTCAAGACGGGATATCCTTGACCGAATTTTGATTACAATAATATTTCTGTTCTTTTTAGTTTACAACTTTTTTTACACATTAAGTATTCTATTATATATACGTATATATTTGTCAATATTTTCAGTACTCGATGGCACATATTGGTATTTCACTGTATGAGGAAAAGAGCAGAGGAATCATGTAATCATTCCGATGAAGAGAAATTTCGACAAATTATATGGTCTATTTCTCTAGATACAAGAAAATTTGAGAAAGCTGCTGCATATATATGTCATGAACATAATTTGAGAAGTAAGTTGTATTATGAAACTTACTACACTATTCACAATGTCCAATATACTCAAATGAATCATAAAATGATTTAATAACATGAAATGATTACGTTTCTGTGAATTTTATTGAAGATTTAGAGTTTGGTCATGTTATTTTAACACCTGTTTCTATCTTATACTAAATATGGGAAACTTTATTTTCAAGCCACTGAAATGCTGACTTTAAATTGAAAACAACACTGCAAACAATGTCAATATCAAAATTGTGCTTATTTTGTGATTAATTACTGAAGTGAAACACTAATATGCTATTGCCAAATAATGTAAACCAAGCACAATTTTATCCATTGAAATATCTGAATAACCATGTTTTCATTTGGTTGCTGAGTGCTTTGCACAATGCAACAATTCAGATAGCTCGTTTCTATAATTAACAACCTATAATTGTACATCAATGATCAGTCAAAATTTAAACTAATACTTATATAATTCTCGGAAACATGCTAAGGAATGTCCTTGGATGTGATGAATTTAATAAATAATAAATAAAGTGCCAAAGTTGTTTCCTGATATAATTTTGGGATTGCGTAACAAATAACACAGTTTTATTGATTGAAGTAAACCTAAGCTTTAAATTTTTCGTTAGTTGAAAACAAATCAAAATATGATGTTTGAAATTATGAAGGAGATTGAACTTGGCACAAGGTTGTTTTTCTTGTTAATCCAAATCAAACAAATATATCACTATGTCGTCCGAGTTTCTCAATATCACACAAACTGCTTGGTGTAGTACATAACATTTATTCTTAATATTATCCAAGGTTCTGAAGATTAAATATGACGGACTAAAATATACTAAACAGTTATCATTTTTAACTATGTTTAAGGAATTTAATTTCGCAGTAATTGTACCCATTCAATTTTGATTGGCTCGATGTTATATTGATGGTATCTCATCTTAGATAATGATTCTTTGATCCCTATATGTAATTTTTTGTATTCACTTTCTATATTGATCAATAAAGTTAATAATAAACTTAAAAATAAGTATAAATTATATATTGACGTTTAATATGAAGATTAATTCATTCTCTTAAGGAAATCTTCAGATATAGAACTTAACTAAGCATTTTAACTACAAAATAATGTCACTTAACACATGAAGCACTTTAAACAAAAAGATAATAGTACTTAACAATAAAACTACTAGTATTTGTGGTAAATTTAAGTCGTTTTCTTCATACAGTGGAACCGACTGAAGTTGCAGTTGAATTATTAGGATATTTACAGTTAGTATGAACAACTAAGTTATTACCAGAAGAGGTACATCCAGCTGGCGAGTTCCAAATAGAACGAAACGCGCGTCCTGGATTCCACTGCTAGCCACTATCCATCTTCACATATAATGTTTGTGAATTATGGTAATATGGAGGCGATCTGCACAGTATGCACATATGCCAGTAAGAGACTGATCATTTGCAGTCCTAAACATCAATCGGAAAATTCCAAGTGAATAGTGTCATTTGTTTAAAAAGGTTTTTGAAAGTAAAAATATTTAATTTTTATAATTACCTAAAGCTTCTTCAAAAGCTGTACTCTTACCTTTTGTGTTTGTTAAATTTTTTCTTCAAATAAAATCTGTCTCATTGTATTTATAGTCAGTCATATATACTAGTTTGACGCATATAAATTATCCCTAGTAGAGTTGCATAGTACAAATATTTCTTCCTATATATAAGCCATCAATTTCAAGTACCTACATTTTAATATTGATGTTCAAAGAAAGACGCTGTATTTGAAAGTTAATGAAATAAAACCACTGGCTTGCTTAAAATACTTAAGGGTTATTAAGGAATTCATTATTGCTTATAATAAATTGTTTAGTTTTAATGAAAGTTTTTTTCTTTTCAAATCAAACTTATTTAAGTAGTATAAATATACTGTTCCTTTATTCAACGCTTATTTAGTAAATTACATTTACTACAATATTTCTATTTTAGTTTTACGTGAACATCAGTATAGATGTTTAAAACAACAAGAGAAATTAGCTGAACAATGTGCAGTTCATAGAAATGAAACAATTAAAGAAGTTGTACTAGCATTACATAATCAATCTAGTCGATTATTATCTAGTCCTAATGAATATTATTCTATCATTAAACACACATTAACATCATATGAATGCAAGTAAGTAACTTTATTACACCTTCATTATCTCTTATCTCTATGTTTATTTTTATTTTTATAGAAAACCGTTGTATTTGGATCTTTGAATGATTAGTTTACAATTACTATAAGATTGCTCATTAAAAATTTAATGGTCACTTTCTTACAAATTACTGTCATAATCACTTGCAATAAATAATAATCTCCTATATACAACAATGAATTCATAAATAATTCAATTAAATAATTTTTGTCTTAATATACTTCCAGATTTAAGTAGTTACTATGAATTTCTTAAATGGTCATAAGACCATTTCAGTAAACTTCATTAAATGTAAACATTTCACCTGGTAACATGTTGTACAGATATTGTAGTGAGCAGAACACAGGTGAGGACAATCAAATTGTATTTCGCACAAAATTACAGAGTTACTTCGTAAATTAGAACAACCATATAGTAAATCGTTAATTTGCAAAGTATCAATCCATCATATCAAACCGGACTGTTCCTGTTGTAATCATCAAACTATTGTCTCACATTACATTGTTCATGCGTTTTCTTACAAATTGCGCTGTGTTTCCGCTCTTTCTTTTTTGATCTTCTCCATCTTCTGCTGCCAGACATTGTTTTTAACTCGCGTCATATACTACTTATATCAATATAAGTAGCACGCATCACAATATGATGTATAACTATTTATTACTTAAAACTTCAATACTCAAAATAAGTAAATCATTAGAATATGTTTGACGAATGCTTCAAGTTATCGAAGCAATTTTTATTTATTCCTAATAGAAAACATGGTGAAATGTTTATTATTTAAAATGATAAACAATGTGGTGTTTACATAAGATAATGAAACTCAATTATTAATTGCATCAGTCTTCCATACTACTAGAACATTAGCAACATTTTCAACTAATTCAAATTGATTTAATATGTTTTCAGTTAATCCATCATTACAAATCTGTACATGATCGACAGGATGAAAAAAATTAGTTACTAGTGTAAAAAGTGACTTATTTTTTATAAAATCCATATTTCGGTTTTTCCTATTGTGATGTGTGCTACTGATGTCGACAAATATAAGTAGTATGTATCATTAATAGTGAAATGCCTGGCAGTAGAAAGTTAAGAAGATGGAAGGAACCAGAACACGACCAAAGAACGGTTGTTGTGGAAACAAAAGAACAATGAAGTCTGACATTTTGCAAATAAGGTATTTACTGTATGGTTCTCAGATTTTAGTAAGATTTTCTGTATGGTCGCATTCGATTGTCTCTATTTGTGTTCTCGTTCTCTACACTATCTTTATTAAATTAACAATAAAATCGGATTTATTTAATAATAAAAGAATATGCAACGTACTTGATCTCTGATTACCTTTCTACTAACTGCAGTAGGACGAGTCGAGGTACAAATAATATTTCTTCTGAGTAGTCAAAAGTATTAATGAAGCGTATGGAAAAATAATTCGAATAACCACAAATAAGAATCATAGAAGCTCATATGTAGAGAATCAGTTTATTTTAACGAAATTCATGATCAGATTATTTGCAAGTATAATATAGAGATTTACTTATCAGTTCCATTCATGAATTTTCTTTTGATGGTGTGACTGTGGTTACATTTGATCCATGGTTCAACAGTAAGGAAACATATTTTACATCGATCCACAAAGTTATGAAAATTACAATGGTCTCATAAAAACATAATACTAGGGAAAATGAATGCAGCGGTAACCTGATTCTCCAAAAGATAAAACAAAACTTCATTTTAGGTCATACCCCTAAAACCTTATCCTCAGTATTTAGAAAAGTTATTCTGGTTCAGTAGACGTTATCTTTTCTTAGAGCTGTCCAAGCAATCAATAAATTACTGTGTAAAACATGCTGGAATCGAGGATAGACAACGTGAGCTTTTAAAACATTCATAAGCCAGAAATTTATTCCATCAATTGAAAGTTTGTTCTCAAGAATTTAAACATCATACTTCCATAAATTTCGTCTGTAGCTAAATTAACATCACAAAAGAGCTTAACACAGATTTTAATTAAACTTCGAATTGGTGAATATATGAGAAAAGTATGTAGTTAATAATTCTGATAAACTTTGTCTTTTCATTGCATTATCGAAATAATTCTGGTGTTCTAAATAAAAATATAAGCTTTATGAAATCCAGTATAACTAAATATGGATGGCGGCTAACAGTAAAATCAAGGGTGCACGTTTAATCCTCTTTAGAACTCGTCAGCTGGATATAACTACATCCCAGAGTTGACGTTCACTCCGGGGCTCGGTTCCAGTACCGTTCGCGTTATACATTTTTCTACAGAGTCTTGATAGCTACTTGCTTGTGCAATGGGTGAAGTTTAAATTCACTTGGAATTGTTTGCTTGAATCTTCCTATTGATGTTAAGGACTGCAATTATTCAGTCTCTTAGTGGCATATGTACATACTATGCATATCGCCTCTATATCGCGTTAATTCACAAGCATTATAAGGAAAGATGGATCTGTGTTAGAAAAACAGAAAAACATAACATAAGTGCTCATATATGTGACGATTCGGCTACCAATAGTAATTTATAAACAACGCTCCTTTATACGGAAGGAAATGAAAGTTCGTCTACAGAAAAGCATCTAAATTGATTAGAAATAAAAGGGTAGGTAGGTTGAAACAATGTTGGAAAATCATCTGTTTGTCACGCATTCCGATCTATAAAATCGTTTAAAAACGTCATGATTAAATCAGTGTGGTCATCTTACTGTCTGATTAACTATGAACTCTTAAAAAGTTTTGCCATTATTATTTCAGTGCAAGCGTTCGTTTGAGATATTGTGAAGTAGGAGATAAATTCCGTTAATTCTAAGAAAACTCTCTGTGACGTCACTTCCAAAGCCACACTTTAAAGAGTACTTTCCGCTTTAACTGCGTAAAACCTATGTAATTTCTCCACCCTTACTTTTGTTATCAGACAATCCGGGGAAATTGTTTCCGTGTCAAATGGCTTCTGTCATCGATAAGTATTAATTGTATGTTCATTATATAGTATCCAGCCTCGGTTTACATTAGTTTCTCTGTTGATGTAATTTTTGACCAATTCCATCTGCATTTCTAAAAAAAGTGGGTTTCGGCTAACAGTGGAACCCAGTACGCTCACTTCATCCTATTAGGGACCGATCAGCTGGATATCATCTAAGAGATTGTTCAAATCGCTACTGACAGTGTTTTGAGCATCTGAGTTCTCAATGATCATAGTTAATATCATTATTAAAAATATTAAGTTATTAGTGATGACAATATGACAAATTATAATCATACAAACTAGGATCAAACATTTAGATCTGGTCTCTTATTGTTTTCATATGTAATAAACAGTTACCCATTATTAAATTAAAATATTAGTACACCAAGGTGTGTTGGGAAGATTATTTTCATAAAATATGATTTATAATAATTTAAGAGAACCCATAATCACAATAATCTACACTCTTTCGACCTAATTTACAAACTTCTAAAATGCTTGAATATTACTCAACGTATGAAGGTACAGTACATTTTACAAACGCTTACACTGTGAGAAAACTATTCCAACGAATAATAATTATTAAAACACATAATAAGTGTAAGAAATAGTATAAAATACACGAAGATTTTGTACGATATGTTCGCACCTCGAAGTTAGGAAATTAGTTCGTATAGGTTTGATTGTATTTTTCTACAACACACACTTCAAAGAGAAGTGGTTAACAGCTCGTTCCGTGAATTTGATCTGTTTCTATTATGATGTTTTATGAATAACTTCTTCTAAGATATTCTTGCTATCAATGAACACGTATTTTTAATATCACTCAACTACATTATGCTGTTTTATCTTTATTTCACTTAAGTTATATGTCTTTATTTCAATAAACTGGTATTTTATTTAGTTAAAGCTAGGTGATGAATTGCATATCTATTGAATTTTTAGACTGAGAATCACTTCCCAGATCTCTAAAATTAATCATTTTTATATCTTTTTTATCTACTACTGACAAAATATAAAATATTTGGTTAAGATAATTTTTTTATTTATTACCATATCACGTAATTGTCATTTGTAATTGTCACGCGAAAATACAAAAAAAGAACCTTGGTCAGATGTTGAATTCAGTGATAAAATAAGTTTTATATGAATAAATAAACAATTTTAATTGTTATTGATTGAGATCATGAACCGATTGATGTTAGACCACCATTGAAAACCTGGAAGCACTGGACGGCCGTTTCGTTCTATTGTGGGACTACTCAGCAGTGTGCATCCACGATCCCGCTCGCGGGATTCGAACCAAGGGTCTTCAGTCCCGCGCGCGAACGCTCAACCTACTAGATCAATAAGCGGCATCCAATGGTGTTAATGTCTAACCCCAACCAATCCACGAAATTGCGCGACCATCTTCCATTGTACTGAGGCAGATACCTGTCTCTACCCGAAACGGATTAATTCCACTGATCACGACTTCTCACCAGAACTCCGAGAATTCCCTCGGTGAGCTAGCCACTAGTGAGCATTGTACATTTATAAAACAATTATGAAATTTTAGATGAAAAGATTAATTTCCTTTCAATTGTTGAAGTATTATTTGATCAATAAATGTTTCCTTTAGCGACTGATTCATTAAAACAAAACAAAAAAGTTAAATAAGAAAATATTGATAACCCTGTCAAAATAATTGATTTTTAAAGTCATTATCTATTCAGCTTTGAGCTACTATACGTATATTTAAAGATTCCTACAATTCGAATTATTTGTTGAATATCGTATTAAATATATGTTATGAAATTGATCTCCAAGGGTAATCATACCTATTACAGGATTATACATCTCAAGGTATAATTATAATTCAAAGTTAAGTAGTTGAAGCTGTATATTCTTGTTTTCTGTTGTTTATTAGGCTGTTAATCTTGACAGTTACGTATATATATATATATATATATATATATATATATAAGTGTAGTAAACACTTGACTATCCTTCCAAATAGGATTTTCTGTCTTGACTATCACATTAAATAACAAAGCATATTTGAGGGAATATTTGTTCGTAGTAAAGTTTTCTGCAAGCTTTACATTTAGTACATCTGTAGTTATGCTAAGCAATTGCTTTATCAAATTCAATTAATTTTTTTGGATGTTCATTGCGGATTTCTTAAATTTAGCTTTTTACGATCTCATATGATGAACACGATTAGATAATATATATTTGCTTATTCTATTTTTCATACAAATATACCGCTGGATGAATCACAGTTGGCCTGAATGAAATAATATATGTATATGTTGAATGTCTGAATGAACTTGATACCTGGAATTAATAATACTTGCGGTAATTTATGAAAGACTATTCATCACATGGAGGAACAATTTACATAAAGTCATAGAACATCAGGAACTCGATTTTCTATCGATTAGATTATTTTAAATATACTAATACTTGTTTGTTCTTTACTTAATAAATGAACCGAAAAAGTGTGAAACGTAAACACTAGTCGGTTAGAGTTTTAAATTGAATTGACTATTTCTACCCATCCGTTATAATAAACTATTTGACAAAAACAAACAAAATGTAGAATAACTTATTTCTTTCCAACTATGTGCTGTAGAACACGTGAAAGCAATATTGAATCTATCAATTGATTGATCGTTCTATAGTTCAAAACAAAAATATATTTTTGACAAAATTAAATTACTGAAAATTACCATATTATGAATTAGAATAACACATATAAGCGAACAATATTGTTTTGAATAAGATCCTCATCATGCATTACTCTAATATACAATAATATAAATATGCATTTATGCAATTACTAAACCAATCAAGGCAATTTCTAAGTGTTAACATGGGAATAGATTACATGAATTAACAATAAGTCTAAATTGATAGTGTAATGACAGGTGTACTCAATTTGATAAGAAGAACCAGGACATGAATCAATGTCTTATAATAGGAAGTAGGTCAACAACTTGGAAAAATAGACAGTGAATAATGTTAATTAAATTTCATTAGAATAATGTAAAAAGTGAATAAGAACTTTTACAACTACTTAGCAATAAACATTAAACAATCAAACTTTTGTGTTTTGAGAAAATTGATGACAAATTACGTTTTCTTGACGTTTTAAAAAGGAAAGGATTCAGTCAATAGAAGTGAGCATAGAAAACTTTATTGGGTAAATCAGCATATATATTTTTGAGCCTTGTACCCATTCATTATAGAAGAAACCTAGTTAGATACCTTGTATGTAGAGCTAGGGAGATAGACTCACACGACGTCATGAAGAGGAATGTCTAATCCAACTAGCCCCTGTGTATCATTTTCTAGCCGAGTTGTGGTGATTCTAAAGGATACGTTACCTTGTTTTACCACACCCATGTGTATCTGCTTATTCAGCTGCTACTGGCCAGAAAACTATATTGGGCTTACAACCAAACTACTGAGTCGACATATTAGTGATCGCCTCCCTTCGTGGTTGAGAAAGGATACAAATAAAACAAAATGTAGCTTCGCTCTGTCACACGTAATCAGTAGCAGACATCTAGTAATCAGAAGTAGGTTATTTAAAGTAACTTATCGTATACCCATCAATTTTCCTTATGGGGTTCGACCTCTTCTCTTACACAGCAGAAGCTATAGAGATACCAGCTAATAGCCTGAATCTTTGTGTTTATTTGAAATTTGTAACATTCTTATCTCTTTCTTGGCCGCATCAACTTTTGATTTGTTTAAAGTAATAAATCCATTTGATTAATTTGTATAGTGTAATAAGAGAATAAAGATTAACAGAACTATGTGATATATTACTGCAATAGATTTCGAACGATCTAATCACACTGGGTTCGAATATCGTCGGGTGCGGGATCGTGGACGCGCACTGTTGAGGATTCCCATACTAGGACGAAACAGTTGTCTAGTGGTTCCAGATTTTCCATGGTGGTCTAGCTTCAATTGACTCGTGATTTCAATCAATGAAATTTCTAAAATCTCCACGAAATTCCTTCTGATAATATTGTTTATTTGTACAATCTATTACCCTATTATCCCTTACTCATAAATTGTTTTGATTAGTTTATTAAATTCATATTAATCGTTTAAAGATCCCCATCATATTAAAAGACCAGTATTTGGACTAGTTTTTTAATTTCATATTACTCATGTAAATATGATTGTATATTTGAAGTTAGACATTAACACCGTTGGATGCAGGCTTAGTGGTCTAGTGGTTAAGTGCTCCCGCGCGAAACTAGTAGGTCCTGGGTTCGAATCTCGCAGGGGGCAAGGCCATGGTTGCGCACTGCTGAGGAGTCCCACGACAGGACGAAACGGCTGTCCAGTGCTTACAGGTTTTCCATGGTGGTCTAGCTTCAATTGACTCATGATCATAACCATTAAAATAAAAATAAAAATGTTATCCCACTAATGTGTCAATATAAAAATGTAGATTATTATTTTGTTCATGAGCATAAAACCTTGAGTTAGCTCACGTGTAATTGAGTATGTTCACATTTAATTTGGTCAAGCTTTTTTTGTTAACTTATTTAACGAGCAGAGTCATTCGTACAATAATAGCTTATCTATACCATTGTACCTTTATTATTATTACACTTGTATGAATATGTGTACCTGAGCATTTGCTTACTGCTTATGCATTTATTCACTTTGCTAGCCTTACTATTAGTTGCTTAATTGATTCAATGATTCATTCATTTCACTATATATATATATATATATATATATATATATATATATATATATATATGTACATTTTATTCATGTTCATTATACTTGCTTATTCGTACTCATATTCGCTGACTCACCAGCTCGCTCTTTCGCTCGCTTGCCTGCTAGCTTTTTGATAATACAACGATGCTGGTATAAATGTACAGTTTTAAATATAATCATCAATAGTAGCAATACAATAAGATACATTTGTATTTACTAACTAGATAAATCTAATTTCTTCATCTTATTGAAATAAAGTTTGATGTCAATCAAAGGCAAAGTTAAATATTCTTTGATGAAATAACATACACAATCATATAACATTGAACTTTCATTTTATCGACATGTAAACTTATTAAACATTCAATATCATAATGTTTCATTCATGTTTCCATTTTTCTTATTAAATTAAATATTCGTTCTTTCTTTTTTTTCTTTTTTTTTTGAACGTTTAGATCTCTACGAACAAAATTAGATTGTTTATATAATATATTACATAATGCATGTCCATCCAATGCAGTACGATTAATAATGAATTATTTTAAAGAGACATTACCAGATGGTTGTACATTTAATTATGAAACAAGATTATCAAAACATTTAGAATCATTACAAATGACAAATTTAATTAATAATGATGAAAATATAGATGAAATGAATATGAGAAAACAAACTGTTATAAATAATTTGAATCAGATTAAAGCAAGTCCAATTAAATCTGTAAAAAATTATGCTTATTTAATAAATTATAATTATTTAACTATAACACTTATTATCTATACATTAATATGTATTAACCATTGAACATCTCTTCTTTGTTAGCTTCTTTTTTTTTTAATTAATTAACTGATTTGTTTATATTACATCCGTATAATATCAATGATGAATGAAATGGTCATCTATTACAGAGTATACTTTCTGTAAATAACCATTTGAATCTATACTGATCAACATATAAGACAAGAGTTCAAAAGTATCAATGAATTTGTTCCATATTGTATGTATAAAAAATGAATCTTCTATACCTTTATCTATCAGATTAAATTGTATTCATTAAGATTGATGTAAATATAGTTTTTATTTTCTTTTTGTTGAACCAAAAGTACTTTCAATCTAGCAGATTACACGAATTAAATACATATTAAATACATTTTTTTCTCTGTTTTTTTTTGTTTTCGACATTAGAATAATACCATTATTGATTATAAATAGTCCTCTAGATACCCAGAATAAGATTATTTATCGAAATCAATAAAATATATTAAAGCTAATGAATGAGGGATTTTAAAATGATTATTTATAATTATCATTTAAAGTAAGCATAAATATGAACAAATAACACAAGTTTAATATTTTTACTACCGAAGTCAATATTGTGAATTGTCTCAATAGGCATTTCTTCTACGAACGATATATATATAGGGTAGACTAATGAAATGTATTTGAAATTCAATGTAACATTGAGAACGAAGCTTTTCGAATAACAAATGAAAGTTGATGAAGACGTTAACAAGAAAAATGTATCAATAGTTTAAATCATGAGTCAGATGAAGCTAGACCACCATAAAAAGCCTGGAAGCACTGGACGGCCGTTTCGTCCTAGTATGTGCCTCCTCAGCAGTGCGCATCCGCGGTGGCACAATCTCGTGAATTGAAGTTAGACATCAACACTTTTGGATGCCGACTCAGTGGTCCAGTAGGTTAAGCGTTTGCTCTGAGTTCGAAACCCGTGAGCAGGATCGTGGTTGCGCACTGCTGAGGAGTCACATACTAGGACCAAACGACCGTTCAGTGCTTTCAGGCTTTTTATGGTGGTCTAGCTTCAACTGACTCATGATTTCAACTATTGAACATACTAAAATCTCCACAAAACCCCATTCTAAAATGAATATATATAAACGACAAACGTTTTTTCAAAGAAGTTTACCTTGAGAAGAATAACTTTTGTTTCTACAATATACCGTACTCTGATGTAACAACAAATGCTATAAGCTGATTTCCTCTTTAACCTATATCAATGATTGGTTTGACTTTGATACCAATAAGTGATTCAAAGATAGAATTCATCTCATTCTTGAGTATTTAATTAGATTTACATCCACAGAATACTTTTTCATTATTTTAAAACACCTACAATTATTAATTTAGATAAAGCTAAAGAAAATTGATTTTTTCTAAGATTCCTTATAGCTTCAATTCTCTTATTAGTTAATTTACTAGAATCATTTTCACTTATATCCTCATAACTTTTGAAAATTGATGAACAACCTACTTATACTATGATTAATATAACAGTCTACAACAAAATTTTAGAAGAAACTAGTTAGAATGATCCTTTTTTCTTTTATTTGTCTAGCGTATTTTTACATTACTATTATCATTATACACAGTAATATGATAGGGTATTATACAATAAACAATATAATTCCCATCTTCTTAATGTTTAATCCTTTAGCATAATGTTTTTGTATTGAAAAAAGAAACTGGTTCAATTAGTTTTGGTAAATATCGTCCTCTTAAAAGTTAGATCATTTGTTTAGTCATTAGGATTTATCGAAAAAAAATGTATATATCATATGTATTTAATTGTTTATTAATCCCTATCATTATAAAACACCGTATATATATATATATATATATATATATATATATATATATATATATATATATATATATATATATATATATATGTGAACGAAGAATATCATTTTTATTAAAGTCTCTGCAGACCCTACAATTATCATATCCAAATGAATTACCCCTCCCTGCCCCAGAAAAATTGGCCAGTTTTAAGGTAAAATACATTGTTTAATATTATAACAACATTATTTGTAAAAGAGAATAAAGCTATTAGCAATAACTTGAATTAGTTTCTAAGTGATATAAAATTAAGAGATTAATAATCAGGATAAATATTAGATAGACATAATGTAAGGATAGAAATAATAATGCAATTACAAATTGGACTGAACCTTTGGCGGAAGATAATATAATGTAAGAAGAGATATAAATTCGGTGAAAAATAAACTAGGGTGTGTGTTAACTAAACTATTCAAGTATTTAGAAGGTGATTAGTGATATTGAAATAGAATAATCATGATAGTAGAAATAATAGTAATACAAAGAAATGTGAATAAAAATGTCGATGACAAGAGAATTCAGTCACCTAAACACTGATCTGTATATTATTGTTTATCTATACAGAGTTTGATGATTCTATTCAAACGAGATACTAATCAATTTCAGGACTTCCGATAATAATCGTCTGCTCACTAGTGACTGACTTCAAGAGATACTCCTGGGGTTCTAGTGAGAAGCCGTTACCAGTGGAGTTCAACCAGGTCTGTTGTGAGATATCAGCTCACTGAAGACAATGGTATACGGTGGAACAACTTCGTGGTTTGGTTGAAGTTAGACATTAACACCGTCGGATGCCGGCCGGCTCAGTGGTCCAGTTGGTTAAGCGCCTGGCGTGAGACTGATAGGTCCTGGGTTCGGATCTCGCAGGTTGCAGGATCGTGGATGCACACTGCTGAGGAGTCCCATACTAGGACGAAACGGCCGTCCAGTGCTTCCGGGTTTTCCATGGTGTTCTAGCTGCAATTGGCTCATGATTTCAACTTGTGAAATAATATTTGACTAAAATAGGTTTTAAGTCATAAACACGGAAAAGTGTATGTATATTAGTCAAATTAGGTGATCCGATATAAAATCACCATCGATTTATGTTGAAGTTATGATCAGTTTATATTTCAGAAACCTGTATTTACTAGATTTATCCCATAAAGTGATATTAAATTGATGTTTTTTATTTTCTTGATGAATTGAGAATGATAAAAACTTTGTTTATATTAACCAGAGTACTATTCAAAATTAGGAATCATTAAACAGCTATTTTATCTACAGCTTCACTTTTAGTCACTTTTTGATTTAAGGTAACCTTCAGCAAGACACATAAGATTCAGTCTTTAACCCTAACTTGTATGACCGTAATATTCAAGCACGTTACCGTAACTGGGACGAAAGTCCAAATGTATTGAACTTGAACGCGTCTGAATCGATTCTGTGCTTAATTGTGGGTGAAGACAGTTGTTGAGTCATTAACCGACTCTTTTTGAAACAATAAGCGGCTTACAATATTTGTTTGATAAATCAAGTATACTTGAAATCATACATTTTGTTGTTTCATATTATATGCTTGGGAATAAATGCGTCAATACAAACAGTCCTCTCAACAGTAATCACAAATAACCGTTATCCTTTTCACTCATTATAAAATCAGCATTTATAGTTTTCGGCTGCATAGATTATTGGACTACTTGCTTAAGTCCGGGTAACTATCTGATGTGTGGGAGAGAATGATAATGATTGGTTGTCTGAGATGGTGGAGAAGATTTGTAGCTCAGGTGGATGATTTTGATGGAGTTTTGTTCTCTGAGCTGGATGGTTTGGTCGTGGAGCTCTCATCGTTCTTCCGAACGACATCATCAGCACGAACTTCAGATAGAAGTGAAGTTTTCGAATTTCTCCATATGCGTTTCACAGCTTGTTCTGTACACCTCGATGTTGATTAGTTGATTGACCAATGAAAAATTACGTTTTCAAAAAAATATGAAAATTTATACATTAAATACACTATTTGCCCATCTTCCTTCACTTGTTCTTTACATTCTTCATGATTCTCACTATTCTGTTGTTATTACAATTACTTGATATATTCCTTCCTGTTCCCTTCATTTCAGTCTTCTGCTGGCAGGCATTTCACTCCCGATTACAGCTACATACTACTGATATCGATCAGCATAAATGGCATGCTCTACATATTTACGTGACACAACTTTTATGAAGTGTATAAATGGTTAATTTGGTGGCTATAGGGATGTTTTTTCTATTCCTAGTAAGATCAAATTCAATAGAACATCATTAGCAATAACAAAGTTGAACACAAAGTAGTAATAAAACTTATAAATTTTTAAATCTTCCACGAGGTTCGATATTTCATGAACAGTGTTACAACAAGTATGTTTATTCGTATGATAGCTAAGAGTTAAAAGCATAAAAAAACATTTATAGTTATAAATTCATAATTATTGTGATACTGTCAAAAGGCCCGAATAAAGCATCCATTAATGAATTTAACAAAGCTTTTTTTAATGAACTTTTTCACTTGTTATAAAATAAATACTTCAAGATAGTGTTATTTGTAAATTAGAAAGGTCTTTTCTCACTTGAGAGATAGTTTACATCATATTGAAGTAGATGAAGTTGTCTTGGCCTTGCTTCAAGTTTCAGACAATATGTCTAAAGGAGCTATATTACGACTGTTCTACATAGTTGAAGTCTTCCAAAGTTGAGTACTACTGAAGCAGAAATGAGACCTAATCCATTCTCTAAACAAATATGTACCGCAGATACGACAGATATCAAACCTGATAAACTATGGCAGATACTGATCAACAGTATATATCTCTCTAGATTGACTGAGAAAAGTCTGAAGCCGAAGTAATAGCGCGAAAGAGTGTCCACAGAACCAAAGAATTCTACAACACAGACTTTCAAGATCTCGGAGGAAAACATTCTATCGAGCTGAACATCGTGTTATCTTTTCTAGTTAGCCTATGATTCGTAGTCGCGCGGACAATAAACTCCCGCTTTGGACTTGATCAATGTGTGTCTATCAGTTTATTTGCTCATATGCAACAGACTAGATAGGGCGCACAGAGCGAGCTCTTTCGAAACGCATCTCCGAAATTACTTTCCCTGGTTTTCTAAGGGATAACAGAAGTCAGTCAAATGTTCAATCTTGGGACATAGTTAATTCTGACCACTCCGCTTCACCAGAAGCCTCCTTTAAAATTATACATCCAGACAGAAGACTAGGATCAATATGAATGTAAATGAAAAACTTATGTACTGGAAATGCTATTGCTATCCACTAGTTCAAGCCCAATCTTCAGTACCTCATTCTTCCATTATCTTAACCTTCTTTTTATCATCTACTACTCATCGTTTTTTATTTTGTTTTATTATTTCTACTTTTCGATTATTTTCACAATTACTAATTAGCGATTATTACAAGATTTAATTATTTTGTTCTAAATAGCTATCAAGTGGACAATTATGTCTACATTAACAC